AAATGGAATCCGCTAATCTGAAAAAATGGTAAGAATAAAAGAAGATAGTGATCATGTGTCCACTTAACCCAATTAAGCCTAATAGGCGTAAATACTCCTTTATAAAGCATACAAACATCATCATCCCAATAAAATTTATGCCTACTTAGATTTGTCCCATAAAAACCTCTCTTAAGGTAGTCAAAAGATGTGCATGACAATGAAATTACAAAAGATTGATCACACATCCATTTAAAAGAAGTATCTCTACCACATTTATCAAATAAGACACTTTTATGATATTGCCAAGTATCAATTAAAAATCTCAAGGATTCTTCTACATATAAGCTATTCAAAGAAGCACATAAATTCTCAAGAAGGTTAGAAGAACCCATAATTCCCAAAATAAAAATTTCAATATATTCAATCTCATGATTATAACTTTCCCAAATAATATTCTCAAGATCAAAGGATTCTAAACAATTGCTCCAACTATCAGAGAAAGAGTCATAGATCAGCTCATGAAAGAGTATTTGGTCACTAACGTCACAATAATTATGCATAGCCTCTTTACTAGTAGCAAACACTTTTATAGGCTCACAATCAACATGACTAGAAGAGTGACTCTCCATCACACAACAAAAATCACACTCTAGCAATTTATCAAATGAAAACTCATTAGACGCTTGAATAGAAGAAGAAATATTTAACTCATTCACAAGCCTCTTCTCATAAAATTCAAGCCTCTTTCAACCACGTTGGAATATATAATCATCTAGGTCATACTCAATTTCAAAAGGAAGCAAATTACTCTGGTACTTAAACTTAGATATTACAGTTAATGACTTGATATGCATCAAAATATCATCATCCACAAAAATTATGAAGTCACCAACATAAGAATTAAGATTATAGTTCATTACCTCCAAAAACACCTTAGGTGTTCTAGAAAGGCCAAGAATGCGAATAAACCAATTATACATACCATACTTGGACTTATTTACTAATGGAACAATATCACCTTGTATTCTTTTATGCAATGATTCCAGCTTAGCAATCGCTTTAGGGAACTCCGTGCCATAAACCTGTAAATAAGAATCAAAGTAGTCAAAAGATTCGATAACTAGGAATTTAACCAAACTTTTATCTTCCACCATCCAACAAGAATTGATTTCGCCAAAATCATGTTGGAATCCAATTGGATCATTTGCCACCATCTCTTGCATCTCACCTATCCTTTTAGAAGGTTTTTCAACACGTGGCTGCACAAAAATACAAGAACTAAAACAAGAAAGAGTTAATGGGTTAGCAAGTAAAGAACACGTTTTCTTACTTACACTCTCATTGGCTTTTATCTCAAGACTAACTTTTTCCTCACCCTTAGCCTCTTTTCTCTCACTAAGGTTTTCTTCTTTTTCTTCACTCAAACCCTCTTGTTTTTCTCTCTCTACCTCATAGACTTTTTTTATCTCATTGCCTTCTCTCCTTTTTTTCCCCTCAAACTCACTCTTTTTCTCACATGACATCCCATTCTCTCCACTCAACACAACATCTCCTTTTTCCTCTCTTGGGATGTCGACATGCACTCCCTTACTCCTCTCATTCTTTTCTCTCTCATATTTTTTCGTATTTTGTTTAATAGTCTTTTCATCTTCACAAATTTGCGAGGGAGTCAAAGGCCCAAGAATGAGTTTCTTCCCGTTAATCTCAAAATAGTATCTATTTTTTTCCATGCTATATGAAGCTCTTCTGTAAACATAGAATGGCTTTCCCAACAAGATATGATAATTATTCATGAGAATCACATCACACCAGATCGCATCCTCATACCTTCCAATAGAGAATAGTAATAACACTCTTTTATCTACCTTTACCCCTCTCAACATGTAGGGTTCAATATGCTCAACACAAGACAAGTTCAATTTCTCAACCATATAAGTGCTAATTGAGTTATAGCCAAACTTTTTGTCGATTCTAAGGGCACAAATTGCAGACATCACTTTAGCTCTTGTTTGAAAAGTAACTTTACCATTGTCATCCTTCCATTCGGCATACTGTAAGTTCGACTTTTCAAGTTGTTGAGTCCTAGCTCGCCTCCTTTCACAATAACTACATATTTGAAACATCTTGAACAAAGATTAAAAGAATTATGTCTCTCTCAAATTTGGATTTTTCCTTCTAATTTTCTCACCTCTCTTGCCTTTTTTCACTCAATGCAACTCTTGGTCGTTAATCTTTAGATTTATTAATAAACCTAACAAGTCACAACCCGCAGTGATAAGAATAAGGAGTTAGAAAAAGAAAAGGAAAGTGAGAGACCAAACCTAGAAAGAATAGGAATTGGTTAGTGTTAAAAGAAAAAAAGGAAAGAATTTAAGACACCCAAAACCCACAAGAATAAGGAAAGAAGTTACCTTAATCTTCAAAAACTAGGATCCCCTCTTCTTGTTTCCTTTCTTGACTTGGAAACCAAATAATACTTGAATTCTAAAAATAATAATGAGCAATAAAACTTTTTTTGGAGCTGATTTTCGTTTTTTTTTTTTTTGGTTTTTTTGTTTTTGTTCGTTTTTTGCTCAAGAACCTCCCGAGACTATCAAGATTGAAATCTTGATTAGCCTATACTTTGATACCACTTGATAACAACACGATAGGGGATTCAAGAATTACTAAGAAAAACAAAATAATCAAGAAACGTGCGGAAGCTAAAAAAAATAAAGAAACAAAAAAGGACGGAAAATTAAAGACAGATTGAATTCAAGAAAGAGTTTCTTGAATTCAAGAAGTCTATTCTTGAAGTTGAATCCTAACAACAACAATTAGCTAACAAAGAACTAATCGCCTTTGGTAGAGAATTAAAAACAAGAGATAGATTGTGAAACCCGACCCCTTAGAATAACAAGAACAACAATAAGCCTAAACTTATCACCTTTCTTTAATACCTAGAAGTGATCTAAGATTTCGAAAGAGTTTAATCTTACCACCTTAAGTTGAGTCTTGAAGGTTGAAGAATAAATCCAAGAGTAGCCACACACAAAAGTGCAAGAAAAATCTCACAATTTTTATTGATAATAGTCTGAATAATCTAAGTCTAAAAACAAAGAAGACACCCCTTTATATAGAGAGGGGTTCACTAAATTGTACCTAAAAAAGACAAGGAAATAAAGTCCTAAACTACTTTGGACAACAACTCCAACTACCTTAGGAAAAGAAAAATGCTAGGAAGCAAAAACCAAGTCATTCTTGAAAAGTAATTCCAAAAATATTAGAAAAAGGAAAACATAACCTTAACTAACTAGGAAAGCAATAAATATAGTCCAATAATATATGGAAATAAGTCTCAAACCATTCTTGGATAGAATCTTGAAAATCTGGGAAATCTTGAAGGAAATTGCAAGCAACTTGGCACCAACTTGCACTCAACATCTAGCACGACTATTGTACCATTCTTGGAAATCAAGTAAGTCCTTTTTATGCTATGAAAATGTGGCTTTATGTAGGACTTCATAGTCTGCAAGTTTGGACACATTTTAGGTGCTAAATTGGTCAAATAGTGGCTTGATTTGAACCTTCTTCAGAGGATGTTTCTTGGGATCTAATCCACCTCTTATTGGACATGAATTTGGGCCATAAAATAATTATTACACCTAGAGAACCCATATCCTTTATCCTTAAGATCTTCCTCCTAACTTTTTTGGCTTGAGATCTTGTTAAAGGCCCTCTTAGAGATTCCAAAGCTTCATCCTTGTCCTTGAATAGATTTGAGCTTCCTAAGATACTATCGGGGGGGATAGGGGGAGGACACAGGAAGCATGGGGATTCGCGAGAAGGGAGGGTGCGGAGAGTAGCATAAAAAGTTATTTTTTAAAAAAATATTTTCTAACTCTCTAACCAAACACTAGAAAATGTTTAGCGGAAAAAGCTTTTCACTCGCCAACCAAACAAGGAAAAAAAAGTGATAAAATCGCTCATTTTCCAAGAAAATATTTCCCCTCATACCAAACACACCCTTATTTCATCCCCTTCTTGTGTGATTATCAATTGACAATTATGAATATGCATGTGTCTATAAGACTTTTGACTTCCTTACAACAAATTATGCGGGTGTAAAGCCAGTGGCGGATCTAGAGTGTTGTTACTAGATTCCCGAGAACCAAGTAACTTTTACGTAGACACGATATTTTTATTAAGAAATCCATTAAATATTTATAAATATTTAATTGTGAACCCAGTTATTATTTTATATTGATTTAAAATTACGGTAGGAACCCATAAACTTCAAATCCTGGATCCGCCATGAAACTTATTAATTAGTAAAAGACTCCAAAGGAGAAGCAAAGTAGATAGGGTAAGTGAGTACACAAAACTTGGTAAGTTGGGTTAGTGGGATGCATGGAATCGGGTCATTATAACTTGTATGAGACCAGCAAAAGACCATTCGGTAGTTAAATTATTATGGTATAGCCAGTTTTCACACTGGTCAATGAAAAATAGCCAGCGTTTATCAAGTCAATGAAAAATAGCCACTATTTTGCTGCAACAGGGACCGGTCCAGTATAATATACGGGAGTTCTGGTGCATTTGTGTACGAACTCCAGCATATTATGCTGGACCGGTATACTTTGCTAACTCCTGTAAAATTTGTGGGAGACTGGAGCACCAGTGCTCCAAACTCCAGTATATTATACTGGACAATTATACTTGCTGGAACTCCCGTCAAATTTGCGGGAGTTCCAGCATAATTATGCTTGAACTCCCGTAAAATTTGCGGGAGTTCCAGCATAGTTATCCTGGAACTCCCGTAAAATTTACGGGAGTTCAAGCATACTTATGCTGGAACTCCCGTAAAATTTGCGGGCGTATTTTTCCGGATTTTGAACAGTGTTTTCGCTCAGATTTAAAGTGGCTAAATTTCGATGACTTTTGAAACTTGGCTATTTTTCAACGACCAGTGGTAAATCTGGCTATTTTTGAATTTCTCCCCCATTCGGTAGTGTGGGATACACGCACAAAGATTCAAAGACAATTATAGGATACACTTTTGATCAACATTACCATTTACATACAAGCTTTTGTTCAATTATTACTTAAGTTGCACACACGAGCCTATAACATACAGTGAACTTTAGGCACACCACATAAATTATGAACTTTGTGACCAACAATGGTTCTTTTAATGAAAAATCAATAGCAAACTTGCACCCGATTTTGATTAATTTAAGCAGTTGGATATGAAGCTTCCATAGCAATTCCACATAGTCCTTCTTTAGCATCAACGTTTCTTTGCATTCTAATGTAACCTTTCTCGCCCCAACTAGTTCCCCACGAGTTCTTTACTAACCAATAATCCGTACCATCACTAGTTTTACCATATCCAATAGCCGTGACACCATGATCTAACTCGGTTCCACATTCTCCAGTAAAAACACCGCTAGAATAGAATTGAAAATCTGGTCCACTAGCATCAATTGCGACAGATGCAGGTTGATGAGCTACAGCTTTCAGTAGAGCAGACTCGCTATTTGCTGGGACAACTTCGTAGCCAGTAATCTTGGCAACGTGGTTGGATTTCTTTTCAGTTTTGCAGGTGCCATCGGTTCCCTCGTATGGGTAATTGGATTCAGTAGTAAGCCCATGGTTCTTGATGATAAACTTGAATGCATAATCCATGAGACCTCCTTGACAACCCATATCCCAACTCGTGTCGCAATCCACAAGCTCCTGTTCAGATAAAGAAATCAACTTACCTTTCTTGATCTTGTTGATTCCTTCTGTGGCAGCAACAGCAGAAAATGCCCAGCAACATCCTGCATTATTAGGTTGATTAGTTTTTAGCTAAATTACTCGGACTCAGGTGAGGGTGTTCGATACGGGTATGGATCTAGAGGTCCGGTCCTTGATGATTTAAATTTTAAGATTCGGGGATACGGATCCACGTGGGAATACGGGTGGGTATTCAACCAAAAATGATACAAATATCTAAAAATAGAGTTGTAAAATATGTCTAAATTATGAGACATTATGTGAAAAACTTCCAAGATATTCCGAGAAGGAGAAAATATCGATTTAAAGGAGAATCCGAGAAGGAGATAAAAGGAAAAGACCGTTATAGAAATTTCTACATACAAGGTACTCCATTTTCTTCAGTTGTACCCTAGCCATGTTTTGACTTCAGAAATCATTATATATGTCCTGTATGTCTCTGCTGATTTTGGTCAAAGTACCCAAAATCGATTGACCAGATCCGGTATGGATCCACACCCACATCCACGTCGTATCGATGTGTGTGCGACATGGAAAGTGAAGAGTCCAAGCAAATTAGGTTTTTAGTGTTGCAGATTCATGGAAAGGAGGATACAAGAGTTTGAGACGTAAAGTAATTAAGTAATTAAAATTGTGATATTTCTATCAACTTAAACTTTTAGACGAGATAGTCATACAATATAATATGATATCAGTGCAAGACAAGAGGTCCTCAGAATCTCACCGCCACCCGAAAGTAAAAAAAAAAAAGAATCAGATCCACACGTGAGGGGAGTGTTGAAACATAATAATTGAAAGTGTTCTCTCTAACACTAATCTTTTAGATGAAATGGTTACAATATGATGGTGGGTCAGTTTGACTTACCACATTGCCCTTGATCCTTAACTCTAGTAACAGCACCCTTCTTTCTCCAATCCATGCTAGCTGCTAGCGCAGTCACATTTTCGTACTTGAATGATGTGGTTTCAGACGATTTCTGGTGTGAAAGCATTCTATACCCGTTGTGAGTGGCTCGGAATTCCTCATTCGTCAAATCGGCGAATTCATTAATGCCCAATTTGTAAGGCCGGACCCCAGCCTTGTTGACGGAATCAATGTACTCAGCATTTTCCTTGAATATTTTGAGTCTTTTTTCCCTCTCTGCGTCATCTTTGTACACACGCCTAAAATGAGCCATCCAATGCTCATGTTTCTGGACCATTGAGGCTTCATACAAGCCACGAGATGAGGCTCGAGAAGCCTGCATTCCTAATACTAGTAGAGCTGCAAAAGCGAGCTTCCAATTGAATGTCAAAGCCATTTTTCACTATCTGAATCTTTCTAGTGATGATACTAATATTTTGTTTGAATGTTAGTGAAATGTTTAGATGGAGCAAGGAATTTATAGTACTGAAGATGTTGTCTGTTAACGTTTATGTATGATTGTGACAATGAAGGTATACTCCGTACACGTTGTCCTGATGTCATCCTAATAAACCTTTCATTTGTAACTTTCTGATATGTTTTCTTTCCCTAAATTTTGGAATATAGGCACTAATGAAGTTCATTCATTGGCCCACGGCACACTAATTAGCCAATATAGAAATGGAGTACTCGACCACTATGCTGTCATATTTGCAAATCACAATTTACTTCTCTTTTGGCCATTAAAGTGACACGGAATAGAAAGAAGAATAATGATCACAGCACTTTTCCCCTTAAGCTACGGGAAAGAATTTTCATAAATGACATCCTTACTTCTCCAATTATATGTAATATTTTTTATAATAATCACGGTGTCCAAGCAAGCTTGCTCACACCTCGATTAATTTTGCGAGGTACCTGCTATCTCCTACTCCACCAAGGCTTGGACAGATAGAAGAAATTACTTAATATTTTTGTCTCCGCTAAAATTTGAACGTGAACCTCATGGTTCTCTATCCACTTTATTGGTCATAGGACCACACCCTTGGGTGCAGAATACATTTTCTTAAGCGAACAACTCGAGTAGTAAGGAAATTAGTAAGGAAAACGAAACGAAATATAGCAAGAGTATATGCGAGAATGTCAAAACCAGTGTGTTGATCATAGCCAGTAGTTTTATTTCTTTAGAATGCCTCGTAGCCTGTGAGCCTTCATTCTTTTAACTTAGACCTACTTTAATATTAGGGTGACTTGTCTTTATTTACGTGCCATAATTTTCAATTATTTGCTAAATCTAGCAATCAGTGTTTATACCAGTTTGATGTGCAGCTATAACTATTCTTTCATCTTTAACTGGAGGTCTTTGGTTCGAGCTCTAAGTATAAAATCGTTTTTGATAGAAAACGCTTTGCCCCCAAAAGTGGGACTAGTTGGGCCCCAAAGTGAGCATCAACACCAAGTGAGAAACCTAAAAAAAAGAAATCGGTGATTATTAGCGTAAATACTAAGAAAATCACATGATTTTTAGATAAAGATTGATTACCTAATTTCAAGAATGATTTGACAAACTAGACTTTGTTAAACCAAAATTGTAGAAAACCTAGTGGAAGTAAGGATACATACAAAAAATCTCAACTAGCTATGGGTTGTATACCATCTTTCAGAGCAAACTGCAAACACAGACAGGATTACAAACTAAAATACACGCATGTTCCTAAAACAAAAATGTACGAAGGGTATCTCCAAATTTGGAGTAGTATTTTCAGGAATTTTCCCTTCACATTCCTATTCTTTTGCGGGAGGGGGGGGGAGGAAGAGAAGAGAAAAATTGCTTGGGAATTCTATATTCTCTTGGGAACAAACAATGCTCCAGGGAAAACACATACCCCTATAACACACCCCAAACGCAAAGAAGGGTGAACAATACAACCCAAAAACAAGGCACTTTTCCCCCCATCTTTTATCAAAAAAAGGAAGGAAGAAAACAAGAAGAAGAAAAATATAGTTTCAGTCTGGACAATAAAATTTTAAGCATTTATAGCACACCAGCCTCTAAATGATACAAGTGAATAGCGTGCCTTTGTTACACCAGTAGCATATGATTCTTATGACAACAAGAAGCTCATCCACAAGTACAGATATTTACAACCAACACTGGATTTTTTGCACTGGCAGAAATAGTACTGGTTCTTCACAATGTGAAATAGCTCATTGCAAGAATAATCTGGTTCCATGTTACAAACCGGAGGTGACCTTCAGATGATTCAAAAGGAAGCATCAATATAAGTATACATGTGTATATATACACTCTTCTGAGATCGAGTAGGACATACACAATACCTGTCACTACACTCACCTTCTAATCAAAATCCATGTATGCTCCAGCAGCAAAGATAGACACCCACACAGCTGCATTTGCAAAAACTGTGGAGCTACATTCTATCAATAGGCTCAGTATGGCCCTGCACTGCCAAACGCTCTGACACATCAGCTAGCGATTTGAGGTTACACCGGATTAGGGCCTCCACAAAGAAGCATGTTTCATCCTTAGTATTCCCATCTGGTACATCTACTACAAATGACTCGATTACAATTGTTCCAGGTCTCCCATCAATGACCTCAGGATGAACAGTGATAACCGATGAGTAGTTCTGCCACGTTTTCAAAGAAAAACAAAAACAGTTACTTGCTAGCCATCTCAACAAATTATTGTACATATAAAGTAGTAATATCTCTGTTTCTCAAACAAAAAGCATAGCACTCCACAAGATGCAAATACACACTGCCATAACTTTTACTGCACAGGGTGGAACGAAAGCTGGCTCGGATTACGCATATGCAAGCACGATATTTTCATGATGGCTATGTGTATTTGGTGAAGACACAGAAAAAATGAATGAAGAAAAGGAGCATATTAAGAGCTTAACATATTGAGTTGAGATAGCGCAAGGTAGGTTCCTTGAACTTCAAGTGAGACTCTCACTTAGGAAAGTTGTCTATCCATTCTTATAATTCATATCCTTAGCAGGCCTTTTTCTTTTGCATCATTATGGTAATCAAATATTTGGATCAGATACTTCAAAAGAAAAGGGGGAAGGGGAGTTGCACAGTCTTATTTTGGCACACTCTTCTCATGAAGGAAAAGTTATCCTTGCATTCACTTCTTCATTCGACATGTACCACCTGAACCGCTAATAGCTGCACAATCAACAACTGTTGCTACTGCCTCAATCCCAAACTAGTTGGGCTTGGTTAAACGAATCTTCAACATTCATTCCACTCAATCTGGACCTCTTTTTCCTGAAGGCAAACTACCTCGGAATAACTTCTCCCAAGGGAAGCTATCTAACCAGTCTTATAAATTCATGGTCTTAACAGGTCATTTTGCTTTCCATCACTCCACTTATCAAATATTAGCATTACACACTCACAGGATAAAAAGAAGCTGAAAAATCTTGTTTTGGTAAAAGGGTCCCACATCCCATGCTATATTCTCATTGCACGTGTGTACCAATACTTCTTCCAGAAACAGCAAAATGACTCTTGTTATGGAGGAAAATTGACCAGGCATTTACTTCTCCATTTCCTAACCAAAGTAAAGGTGTTTAACGGATGGGCCGGGCCGGGTTGATAAAAAAGGTGACCGGCCGGTTTCCAATCCGGGCCAGTTACCGGTTTTTTCAAACGGGCTTAACGGGTCCGGGTCAATCCGGGTAAAAAATGAACCAGAACGGTTACGTGTCCAAGGGGCCGGGCCAGGCCGGGTTAATGTTATTTTTCTATTTTTTTTTGTATTTTATATAACTATCGTAATTTATATTAATATAAAGTAAAAATATAAAACAAAAAAATAATCTTATAAAAAGAGTGTTTGAATAAAAGGGTGCAAAGGCTTTAAAATCGTTATATTTGAAATTTTGAATACTTCATTAAGAATTTAAGATAATAGAATACAATGAAGATGGAAAAAAATTGCACTTATAATTTGCAAGTTCTTTTTTTATTTCAAACTGACAAATTAAAGTTCACATTTAACAACAACTAAATTAACGAAAAAAGAGTAAAACTAAATTTTCATTGCATAATAGTATTTCAAATTAATCTAACAAACTAAAACATTAAGCATAAATACGGCTAATAAATTTAAAATAACACAAATTGTCTCAAATCAACTTAAATACGAATTTCTGGAGGACGCTTAAGACAACTCTTCATATGCCTCCTTAAACAGTCTGTGCCCACCCACTTTAGACGAAGATTTAAGACTAGACCACAATTCTTGTACTTTACTTTGTGAACTTCTTCATTTTCTTCTACCACCTCAAGGTGTGAGCATGATTTAACTTGAATTGATAATTTGAGTTTGAGAAATGAGAGATGAGTGAAGAAATGAAGAAGACGGGGGTGTATTTATAATTTTTCAAAGGGCTAAATTATTAATTACTAAAAGCGTTATTTTTTAAAATAAATTGCCCAAAAAAGGGCTATTCCTACAATCAACCCGTTGGGCAACGGCCAAATTTGAAGCTGACAATTGCCAACAGTCATATGACATTTTTTTTTAAAAAAAAACAGAAAATAGCCATTGAACCGGGCCGGGCCGGTTAACCGGTTCAACAGTATTTTTCATTGACCGGGTTTGACCGGTCTGGTTAACCGGATTTCTTTTTATACGGACCAACCCCCGTAACCCGGCCCCCTAACTACCGGTCCGGGCCGATCCGGGTTACAACCGGTCCGGGCCGGTCCAGAAACGGATCAACCCGGCCCGTTAAACAGGTATAAACCAAAGACAGTTAATGAACAATACAAAGTTACTTCATTTTTTATGAATAAACAATTTAACATGCTTACCATCTGAAACATTACGTTCCACAACAGAAACCATGCAAGATCAAACTTGATATCAGCTATAAGTTCGTCTATCCCATTATATGTGACACTCTTTTCCTTTTAGTTAGTCTCGAAAATATTGACATTTCAATTTTACCATTACTGACATGAGTTATTGGGATCCAAGTTGATAAAAAAGCTTATTTCTTATAAAGAGAGGGGAACATGAAGGGATGTGTGGAACTTACCATCTCCCGCTTATTTGTTGCTATCAAGGAAAGACATTTGAATAAACAATGGTAACATCGATGAATGCTGACACTTCAAGTTTCAAGTCCAAGTGCTGTGTGCACATGTGCATAACCTATGTTGCACGGACTCTCCAAAATGATGTCGCACCTCTGTCGGATCCTCCAAAAAATTACACTATTTTTGGAGGATCCGACACGCACCCGGCAACATTTTCGGAGAGTCCGAGCAACATAGTGCATAACTAGTAAATTCTTGCAAATATCATTCCGCACAATGGATGCTTAACTTATAATGATGCCAAATCAAACAAGAAGTCTTAAGTATTTATCAGCTTTACAAAATAGAATGCTGGAATAAACATTGTTTGATCTATATCTAACAGTTTTTGTTCTGGTTGAAGAA